CGTTGGAACAGTGAGGAGCGTGCGTTTGCAGTTGAGGCTTACTTTTCGCGCGGATGTTCTGTGATTGCAACTCAGGGCGCCTTTCGAAATCGCTTTAATTTAGCCCCGTTGGCCCCTGTTCCAGACCGAAAATCAATTGTTATGTGGGTCACTACGTTTAGACAAACTGCAAGTGTGACAAAACGAAGAACTGGAGTCCCTCGGCCCATTAGATCACCTGAGAACATTGAGGCAGTCAGAGCTTCAATGTTGCGATCACCACGGCGTTCTGCGCGCAAACATGCATCTGCCCTTGGACTTTCCAGTCGTTCTGTGCGGAGAATTCTCCATGAAGACTTACATTTCCATCCATACAAGATGGCGACTGTACAGGAACTGTCAAAACGTGACTACGATTCTCGCAGGAACGCATGTGAGATTCTTCTGGATGTCGTTCCTGAGGACGCTATTGTTTTTTTTAGTGATGAAGCACATTTTCACTTGTGTGGATCCGTGAACAAACAAAACATGCGCTACTGGGCTGACACCAATCCTCGAGAATTACATGAAAGGCCTTTGCATTCACCTAAGGTCACAGTGTGGTGTGCAATTTCCTCAGCTGCAATTATTGGTCCCTGGTTCTTTGAGGAAAATGAAGTCACAGTAACAGTGAATTCGGGCCGGTATGTAAACATGTTACAGGAATTCTTTTTACCCCGGCTGAATGCGTTGGACTTGGAAGACATTTGGTTCCAACAAGACGGTGCAACGGCACACTGCAAGAGCATCGATGGCTGTTTTGAGAGAACACTTCCCAGAACGCCTTATCTCAATCAGGGGCGATTTGCAGTGGCCGGCCCGATCTCCCGATTTGTCCCCTTGTGACTTTTTTCTATGGGGTTTTTTGAAATCCCGTGTTTATGTGAACCGTCCAAGGACCCTACAAGATTTAAAGAACAACATCCAGGAAGAAATTGCCAACATAACGCCTGCTCTGCTTCAAAGAGTTATGACAAACACCAGAAATCGGTATACTCAATGTATAGAGAATAAGGGACGTCATCTACCTGATTTGATCTTCAAAACTAAATAAAACAAAATTTTAAGTATGTACTTACATTGTAAAAACCAAATAAAATTTTTCCGATTCATACAATGTGTTTTATTAGGTTTTAAAAAAAGGAAGTTATGCTGCCCCACCCTGTATATCCGTTTCCTTTGCCAGTACTTCTGAAATTATCAACAGTTTTCTACGTGCCAACGAGTGAATTGTGAGAAAAGCTGTATTAAAGAGCATTTTTGTAAGTATTTGTATGGCCTATAAAATAATGTTATGGGTTTTTGTGCAATTTTGTGTGTAAACTGCTTCCACGATACAGGTGAAAATTCTAGTGTGGAAAGTATCGTTTTTTTTTTCATAATTTTTAATTAAAATTCCAGGACATATGAAATCATTAACTAGATTTTTCATATGTACCAATAATCCTTTCAAACGAGGGGCCTACGCAGCAGGTTGACTTTGACTTTGACCAAAAGCAGTTCATGAACAAATAGTAGTTAAATACATATAAAATTTTACCGACATTTATGGGCTACGGTCCATCACTATGGGCATTATAATATTATGTTTTGTACGGACAATTTTTCCTATAACTGTAAAAGTTTTATGACAATAAGCAATAAAATTTTCCGTGAGGTTGTACGAGTATTGGGAAGTGCAAGGCAAAAATTCTATTAGGGTTCAACCAAGCACAGTTCGGTAGCGCTCGCGTCACAGTGAACTAAAAGCCAGCTGTAGCGGTAGAATTAAATCATTCTCGCATGCCGATGATATTATATACGTTTGATTTATTGTTACACTCTTGGATTCGACGTGGGAGAGCGATTATTATGAGTGGAGGAGTTTATTTCTAGTATTGATATTGTTCCTATTTTTAACAACGTTTGTACAAATTATGCAGACCATTTGATTATAATCGGGTGATGACTTCTGATTTGAATCAATATTCTCTTTTCCTGCCCAGTAATCCATCTAAGTAGATGCTACCCTGCCGGCAAGCTGCAGTACGTGAAGTCTTGCTTTCTGGTCTGAAGGGAGCCGTGGTAGCTCAGATGGTAAGCGCTCGCTGTAAAGTCACAGATCACAGTAATCGAGCAACCCCGGTTCGATCCCCACCGGCATCAATGAAATTGTTAATTGCAATTTAAGTGCTGATTTACCACGTGCCCAGTGGTGAAAGAAAACATCGTGAAGAAACAAAGACATTTAAGTATGTAGTAACAAAATTGTCGTCCGTAACTTTTGTCCAACAGGAGATATATCTCCGATTTTTGTCATTTAGTCTAAGTGACATCGCCGAAAGGTGAAGACGCATTCGTTTCATAAATTTAAAAAATATTTTTAAAGAAAATATGCCCGGTTGTGCATTAAGGTTATATTATAGTAAGTCACGATATGGAGCAAAAAATGAACATGATTTCGGTTTATTAAGAATAATGCATATTTACCAAATAATCTTTAAATTTTATTATTTGAGGTAGATTGTCCTAGAAGAAAGAAAAAATATTGTAATAAGTGCCCTCTGTTATCCAGTAACGTCACTATTTTTTACAAATAGGTTAGTAATTGACGACGTGCCTAAAACCGATTTTTACCTTATGTTTAAAAGCGTCACCTAATGAGAAGTAGCTAAAATGTTTTCGAAATAAATATTCAGCGTAGTATTGCTATTTTTCGCTAGAGCCGACATTAGGAATATTTACATATAAAAACTGTGAGCACGCGCCTGTTTTATGTCTAATAACTCTATAGTATATATTTAAATCGTTTTGTAAGGAAACCTGCATGTGAACCGGCATGGGATTCAAAGACATAGGATTTCTGTTTACATAATACCAGAAGTTGAATGCAGCAACTGTGAATGCATGTTTTTATAGTGTTGTGGCGAAACACATTGAATCTTAAATCGCGCTATCAAAGTTCCGAATCAAAAGCAGTATATATATATAGAACAGCTCCAAACTACTGCACACTTTAAGCGCCCTGTTACCATAGTTGTGAATTGACACCCACATGTCAATTCACAACAATGGGAATATGAGCGAGTAAAGTGTGCAACTCTTTTACTATCCATTTTTTTAAATAATTATTGATGAAATTAATTGACGCCTGTACGAGCGTGTAATGTACGCCTATCGCACGGATGGTTGGCCGCTCCCGAGCAAAACCTTGCCCGCCGGGAGATCTCCCTTTTTCCTTTCACGGCCACTGCGTCATCTTTCAAAGGCATAAGATGGTTTTAGCATGGGGTAATAGATTTTTAGTTAGTACTTGTTGTGAACTAACAAAATGGCGATGTCTTCATTGTCCTGGTCAATTTTTCATTGCGATAGTTCCACTAGAATCTAATAAAAACAGTGCCGCAAAAGTATGCGAATTCTATCTCCAATCACTGTTCTCACTTGTCTGTATCGATATTACGATTATGCTATACTATTGGTGGGTGGGGAATTGTTCTTCGAAACTTTCTTTTAATATGTTCACTTTCGTCCGTACTTTTTTGTGTACATAATAGAACAGTGCCTGGATGACCGAGCATTGCTCGGTATTTTTATTTTTTTTTGCAAAACGTGTGTTTTAGAAATTATATTTAGATAAAAATTACATACTGATAAAATATGAAGAATATTTTTTGATCTACTGACATAATAAAAAAAAACTGAACTGGTTATTAGAATAAAAAATTATGAGTGCAATAAAATTTTCGTATTTAAAAAAAATACTAAAAAGGGCTTGAAATAATATTCTCACAAAAGAAGGGAACTTGAAGAAAAAAAATGAAAAAGTCAGACGGAAAATAGGACGAACGAGGGCACTATGATTTTGCGACGGGTCGATATCCACTTGAGCTTTTTCCCGAAAACGCAGGCAAAACGACATTTTTTAAAAATGAATCCTAGCCAGATCGATTTATTGCCCCCGAAACCCTCCGGGCACTAAATTTTATGAAAATCGTTGGAGCCGTTTCCGATATTCCGAATTCCGAAGAATTTTTCGTTTAAAGATATAGGATACTTCAGTTACCGTTACAGTACAGGTCTGTTTTAGTTTTCTATTCCTTATAGCTCAAGTCAATTCTTGTTCACTATCCTCAACACACTGTTTATTGTTGTTTTTCTCCTTCTTCTTTACCTCTTCGAAGTTTAGAGCTGGAAATTTGCTTTTTAGGGGATTGCCTTAATAGTCAGCAGCAGGTAGATCAACGACTGCGGTACGAAACGCGCCGCAAATACCGTTTGTTCAATAAACGTAAACAGTTTTTCTTTTTTAGTGCAAAGGCATTTTAGGAATGTCTATGTGTTTGAAAACACTTTTAGACACAAGCGGTACTAGGAGTATAACATTTCTTGCGTACAAACTATATCTATGGCTATATTTTATCCATATGTGTCACCATCATGAGCTCCAATAAATAGCGATGACCATTACGACGCGACGTATGGTGTGGAGACGCTCAGTAATGTGATCGTTCCTTCTTCCCTGTAAAGTTTAATTATTAGACGACGCTCTTATATTAAAGAATATGAGAATCATTCGAATTACACCATATCTAAGTAAATATTATCATTGAAGTGAAAAGTTGGAAAGCACTGATCTTGCGTAACGGTCACGCTCATATATATATATATATATATATATATATATATATATATATATATATATATATATATAATCCTCAAGTAAAAGTTTTTTTGTGAGGTTTCGTACCCAATCTCAGCTAAGAATTTGCTCCATATCACCGTGTTTCGGTCGCGATGTAATACCTAATAGCCTAATACCTTCTCTAGAGCACAGAACGGCCATCTTGGGCCACCTTTCACCTTAGATCTTGTTTATTTTACTCGTATATTTAATAAATAATTCATGACGACAAAGTATAAAGACTTTTGGGTTGAGATATACTACACCTACTACAAAATTATTACATGACATTTATACAAGTATACAGTTTTAATATTACCTGTTGAGCGCGTTTTCCTTCCTTTCGAGGCGGTGGAGGGAGTATATTTAGATGTTTTGGACGCACCGGTTCTTTCGACCCGACTTGAGATGCCTCTTCCACCACCACCTTAGTAGTCGATGCCGCACCCGACTCCGAACCTCCACACTCGGAAGCAGGTTCTGGTAACATAGAATAAGATTGCACAAATTGTTTATAAAATTATTTTTAAATTACTATTAGATATCGATAAGCCGTAAGTATTAAAATATATTTTACTGAATGGTAGGACTTCCTTTCAAATTTGTTAAAAGTGACAACACATCTGTGGCCTTATATCTCTGAAGTTGGTAACAGTAGTCTATTAACTGCAGTAGCCACATACAATAACATCGGGTGTTGTTTAAAAATAATGCTCCTTAATATTAGTAGTATTGCTAAATAATATGGAATAACCATGATTCTGTTTTAAGAACATGACTGATCAAAAAAGAAACAAAACAATGAATGGAAGGATAAAATAAACGGCGAACGTTTTTTTATGGTAGTGTGAAAGGTGTGTTTGTCTTAAAGTTTTGTTATAATATCTAATTATTGTCTAATTTACTTGTTTCTTTAGGGCAGTGGTAGCTCAGATGGTTAACGCTCGCTGTAAATATTACAGAAACGCGAGTAACCCGGGTTCGATCCCCGTCAGCATCAATGAAATTGTCAATTGAAATTTTAAGTGCTGATTTACCACGTACTCGGCGGTGAAGTATAACATCGTTAGGAAACCTGCATGTCTGAGGAATAAGAAAAAAATATTTCGAAGACATGTGAAGTTCGCGAACACGCATTGGGGCAGCGCGGCGGACACTTCCTTGCCCTAAAACCCTCTCAGAAGTGAGGGGAGGCCTGTGCCCAGCAGTGGGACGTATATAGGCTAACTTTACTTTTACTTGTTTTAGTAGAGTAAAAATGAAATTTCTTATGGGACAAGCTCCCAAACAAGCTGGTTCCGAAAAGGCTTTAGTACCGCAGACCGCATACATACACTTCGGCAAATTGTACAGAACACGGAAGAGTACAATCTGCCACTTTGTCTTGCGTGATGTGGATTATGAGAACGACTTTTTCTTTTTTTTTGGGCGGTGCCAAATTGACTGTCAATATATCGAAATGCTGAAGTGGGGATACGATGGCTATCCGAGTACAGAACCAGAGTACGAAACTTATCCAACTGCGGAGAGGTGTACAACAGGGTGACGTAATATCCCCAAAACTCTTCACCCCCGCATTGGAAGACGTTTTCAAACTAATGGACTGGAAATTATACGGTATTAACCTCAATGTCGATTACATCACTCACCTTCGATTTGCTCACGTTATGGCAGAATCGCTGGAGGACCTAAGCATTTTGCTCAATGACCTCAATAGTGTCTCCTAACGTATAGGTCTTAAGATGAACATGGACAAAACAAAAGTCAGGTGTAAAGTCCATGTCACACCTATGGCGATAGTTGTTAGGACTAAGCTCGAAGGTGGAGCTAAGCTCATGGGGGGAGGCCTATGTTCAGTGTAGTCATAGTTGTCAGTGGACTCGTGAAGCGCTGTATGGATGATGATGATGAGCTTGAATTAGATTTGGAATTATGATTCAAGTATATGGCAAAATATCTCAAGTTTAAAATTGCTTTTAAAAACCAATCTTTTATTTGTGTTCCAACCGCTTCGTTCGATGTAAAACGCTGTGTCAGTAACTGCGAAAAATTATGAAATTTGCGTTACGTGCCATAAGTTTCTATGTGACACCAATACTGTAACGGTGGCATGCGATATTAAGTGTATGATCATGACTTGAAATGATTTTGTTTTGATAACTTACCTTTTGGAAATTTTAACTTATAGACGAGGCCCGTAAAAGATTGAAGGTTAAAGTCACGTCAGAGCTAGTAGCAGTTTCGACGTACGTGAGAAAACGGTACAGTTTTATTTGGGTCAAATTGAGAAAATAAAGAAGCCTGGAAACTGGTTACCGAATTATAATTTTCTGAAGGATAACCGAAAATTCACGTTGATACTGACAAATTTTGTTGAAACGGCATACTAACCGAGAAAGGAATATAAATCGGAATTTTTCGGATAAATCATTCGATCACACAGTCCTGTGCTAAATATTTTAGAAGCTTCGACTTTTTGCCATCTGCTGTACTTGCTTTGCTTCCACTGATTTCTATTTCTTTTACTTAATTTGGATATCTTTTTTCAGGAACAACTTAGATAAGGCGGTGAAAAACTCCTTTAGAGATTTCAATCAATACTGCCCGCAGAATTTCTACATCAATTTTCGGCATTAATTGCATTGGGATGGAAAACTTTCGCGTTTATTGTTATAACCTATAAAGCGTACTTTTTAAGTTATGCTAATAAACTCGAAATATCCCTAGACAGAGTTTATGTGTGTATTTACCGAAAGCAAAGTGAACAAAATAGGTAAAATTTCAAACGCTTTTATTTTAAATTGATCTTTGTCAGAAAATTGGATAATTTTTACCTGAGTCTAAAATGTCGTTACGGCGCGGCGACCAAATCATCATACAGGCAATAAACTGATGACGCAGCCCACGTAACCAGCTGCTGCTCAATGCGTTGGTTGTCATAAAAAAACACATAAACGCTAATTATAAACCTCGTACATTGGACGCAGTGATATAATAGCAGTTAAGATGAGGCGTTATGGTAAACATTGTCCCAGGTGTACCGAGCGGACCGAAATGTGCTTTTGTTCGCAAACATCGTAAAATGCAGCTTCCAGGGTACACCGATATATTATTAAATGTGTCGAAATAAAATTTTGAATTATCATTATAGCATGTTAATTAATCACCGTGATTTGCAATTTCTTTTATCTTATTTGTGTTTTCCATGAGCCGTGGTAGCTCAGGTGGGTCGGCTTTAGTAATCTGCTGCACGATTTAAGTGATCATTTTAGCTTTAGTTGATAGGTAATGATGCTATTGATTACCATCTAGCTGCTTTTTATGCCGGAAATCCTTAGTTTTCGAGATATCGATAATTTTAGTTTTGAGGTTATGTCCATTTAAAAATGATACGAAACGAAATAACAACATAATTATTTGATCATTTTAGCTTTAGTTGACAGGCAATGACACTATTAATTATCATCTAGCTGTTTTTTTATGCCGGAAATCTTTAGTTTTCGAGATATGGACAATTATAGTTTTGAGGTTATATCCATTTAAAAATGACACGAATACGAAATAAGAATATAATTATTACAAAGAGATAGCAATAGAGCATGGTCTGTACTCTGTTTTAAAAAAAATAAGCAACAAGGATATAATTATTAGAAAGAGATAACAATAGTATAGTTTGTATGATCTATTAATCTATTTATAGTGCTATCCTACTCTAACATACGATGTTAAACCACGTATTGTTTTTTGTCACCATCCATTCCACTTTCGCCTTCGGACTTTGAATGTTTTGCGCTCATTTTTTGCTCCTAATTCTTGACCCTTGCTCGATTATCGGACCTCCGTTTACCGCCTGCTCTATTTTCGACCTCTGCTTGTTTCTTGGACCTGTGATTTGCCTTGACGAAGACCCGTGCTCGAATACCGGACCACCGATTTGCCCTACGAAGACCCCTGCACGTTTTCTTGGACTTTGCCTACCTGTCTGTCTACCTGAGAGACCCAAGATGGCCGACGACTCTACGCCGTCAACTAGTTCGGCCGGTCCGTCGAACACAAGCGACGCCGCCGCAACGGATGTATTACCCTTCGCGGAGCTTTATGGTGATTTTGTGCGCAGGCGTTTATATGTGGAAGAAGGAGCTAAATTTTTTAATTTACCCCGAATCGTGCGAGAACTCGGTACCAGAGTACAGTGTGTGGAGTTTGCCATTGAAAATGGCTTAATCCCTGCCACTAAGGAGTGCCGCACCCATAGAGTGCTAATGAAAGTGGTATATGGGCAAAATAAAAATGTGGGCTCCTTTGTTTGCAATAAAGGAAATTGCAGAGCCCGATCCAGGGTAGGCCGTGGCAAGGGCACCTGGTTTGAAAATATTAAAATGTCATTGCCACGGGTATTCTATCTGATGTATTGTTATGCGCATCGCTGGAGCTATGAAGATGCAATCCACGAAGACCCAGAAAAAGATATAGAGGGAGGCTGCTTATCTATGGCGACTGTCTGCGATTGGTACAATTACTGCCGGGAGACAGTCGTCATTTACCAAATAGAGCAACAAGAGGCCATCGGCAAGATTGGTGGCCCAGGAAAAGTAGTCCAAATAGACGAGTCAAAATTTGGAAAACGGAAATATAATAAAGGTAATTTGATTTACAGACTGAAACAATATATTTATAATAATAATATAATGATAATTAAATTTATTTCAGACCCACATATAGTCCATAATATGTTAGTAAATTAGCTTAACCTATGTTAGTCTTAAATTATTACACATTATTTATTTTAAAGTTTACTTTTGAACCCAAATTATCTTTTAATACCTTTTATTAAATATATTTGAATACCTTTTAAAGCCAAAATATCTGGAAGAAATCAGTTTCAGAGTGATAAGACAGCCTGTTGTACATATTCTGCTATAAAATTTTGTACTTTTGTATTTGTTTTTTTTTTTTTGTAATTTTGTACTATTGGGTTTTGGTGTACACTGTACAATATAGAGTAAATAAATAAATAAATATCTTGAATATTTACTAACTCTAAATTGTTTATTGTTGATTTTAGGAAGGCAGATTGAGGGCCACTGGATCCTCGGCCTCATTGAGGATGGAAGTGAGGATTTACGACTAGAGGTGTGCCCTGAAAACATCAGGTCAGCGGACATACTAGTGCCCCTAATTAAAAAACATGTGGTTGAGGGCACCACAATCCATACCAACTTCTGGAGGGCTTATGATTGTTTGGGGCAACATGGGTACATTCACAAGAAGGTGAAACATTCAGATCCTGAGAACCCATTTGTTGCCCCTGATGGCACTCATACTCAAAGAATCGAATCGCAATGGCGGGTGGTTAAAAGATTTTTTAAGTAAATACAATTATAACCACCCGGAAAACTTTTCAAACGGACATTATTATAGAATATTTGTGGAGAAGGTCAGTGCAAAGAAAAAAAAAGGATCCTTTTATGGAACTAATTAAAGTAATTAACCATGTATATAAATAAATGTTTTTATTTTTGGTCATTTCTTTTGATCAAACCCTAGTACCAGAAGGTATAAATCACAAAACCGAATCTGTCAACCCCAACTTCCATGTGGTCTTTCCGCTCTTACCCCTAGAGTGTATATGAAAATCCGGAAGCGCGGAGGGAATGCAGCCCTCGCCCGCTGTAACTAAGCGCTGGCAGCGTACGAGCCGTAGCGGCTGAGGCTGGTCGCCGAAGGCGACCAAACAGCCGAAGCTGCGCAGGTGAGCTAGGTGCCTGTGCTTAGTTACGCAAGGGCGAAAAGGCTGCACTTCCCGCAGCGCTGGAGCAGAAGCAGAGTCAAAATAGTGTTAATTCCCACCGTTTTTCCCACCCTATATACTCCCACATTTCCACCGGGTCCCGAATGTGAGTTTTTCGTCGCCGGACGCCCTTTTTTTTATTAAACGAAAGCGAATTTTCCTTAAATGTAACAAAACTTTAAAAATTCATAAAAAAAAGGGGGGGGGGGTTTCCGGCACTTTTTCCTTTCAGGGGGGAGGTTCCGCCCCCCTCCCCCCCCCTCCCCACCCACTCGGCGACCATATATTCATGCAGCAGATTACTAAAGAAAACCCGCTCAGATGGTTAACGCTCGCTGTAAATATAACAGAACCAACCACCAATGAAATTGTTATTTGCAATTTTAAGTGCATATCTGAGGAATAAGAAAAAAAAATATTTCAAAGACATGTGAAGTTCGCCAACACGCATTTAGGCTGCGCGGCGGACACTTCCTTGCCCTAAAACCCTCTCAGAAATGAGGGTTGGCCTGTGCCCAGCAGTGGGACGTATATAGGTTGTAACTTTAACTTTAAATCTTTATTTGTGTTTTTAAGCGTTTATCAAATTGCGCAGATTTTAAAGGATTTTCAAATAATTTTTTAATGGATATAAATATTTATTCACACAGCATGGGGGCTAGACGAAACTTCAATTAACTAGACGAATTTCAATTTAGAAAAGGGTATTTCTAAGGTTATGTGAATTTATATTGTTTCTCTTACGATTTTAAAGGTGGGTAGAGTTGAGAGTATTTTGTGACGACATTCATGACTCGAGGATGTAAATGCAAGTTTCAGTATTTTATTTTAGTCTATATTATATTCGTTAATTTTCTTAGATACTTCTTCTTTAATTTCAATAATTTGTCTATAACTCTGTATCGTTCAAAATGATTAACCAAAATAATTGCTTCTTATCACTGTTTGTGATAAGATGGAATTATTTTGTGTGTACTATTGTAGTTTAACACTGTTCACTATTTTACTGTTACTTTATTTTGAAATTTTTACTGCATTTTATAAGCACTCTCACAAATTATATTAGGTCCTTACAATTGAAATTAGCGTTTTGTCGTACACTTTGATCTTAAATATATCTCCTCTTTGGTTAAGAATTCCAAATTCAAATTTATAAATTCATTTAGTTATTCATTTGTTTTTTCCTCGTTTTTTTTTCTTTGGCGTCGCTTATTACCGCACGATGGAAAACATGAAATATCCGTATATTTACGAGTACGAGTTCTACCGTGGCACCAGTGCTGCAGAAACAGCTCGAAGGATTAATCATGTGTGCACGGATTAATCGGCGCTGGTGTTACAAAAGAAAGCACGGTAAGTTTTTGATTTCAACCTTCAGAATTAGTTTTTTCTAGTTTTTTTAATTAGAAATTTCGACCTTCAGAACCAAGCCCGTGGATTGCCGGAAACCAAAGTGAAACATGAATAATTTAAAGGCTATTGTGGAAGCGGATCCATCACAAAGCACTTGACGGATAGCTGCAGGCTTCAGGGTAAGTGATAGAACTGTAATCCACTTGAAGCAAATCGGGAAAGTAAAAAAACTTGAACGATGGGTCAACTGCTGTGTTACTTTGCTCAACCGACATAAAAATGAAGGGATTTTTAATCGAATCATTACTTGTGATGAAAAGTGGATACTGTACGATAATCGGAAGCGCTCGTCGCAATGGCTGGACCCTGGAGACCCAGCCAAATCCTGCCCTAAACGAAAATTGACTCAGAAAAAGTTACTTGTGAGTGTTTGGTGAACTAGCGCCAGTATCGTTCACTACAGCTTTCTAAAACCTGGCCAAACAATTACGGCAGATATCTATTGTCAGCAACTGCAAACCATGAAGGAAGAACTAGCTGCTAAACAACCGAGATTGGTCAATCGCTCTAAGCCACTGCTGCTTCACGACAACGCAAGACCGCACACTGCACATCAAACAACCACTAAGTTAGATGAGCTACAATTGGAATGTCTGCGACATCCACCGTACTCCCCGGACCTTGCTCGAACAGATTACCATTTGTTCCGCAATTTGGACGACTTCTTACAAGGAAAAAAATTCAACTCCGATGCGGCAGTCCAAACCGCCTTCAAAGAGTTTATCGATTCTCGCCCCCATGGTTTTTTTTAGCAAAGGGATCAATAAACTACTTATGAGATGGCAAAAATGCATAGATAACAACGGTGCATACTTTGAAAAATTAAATATATTTTATAAAAAAATAGACTCTATATTCCTTCGATCGAATCGATTTAAGTTGATTTAACTAATGTTAATTCGAAATGCGAAAAAGCTAAGGCGATGTGAAAACTGTGTCTACAGACACTACAACAACTTTACAGACAATACTCGTAACATCTGTCGATTAATTTACATTTTCTTACATCGTCATTCATCATTCGAAACCAGTACGAAAGGTGTCCATATTTTCGTAATTTGTCTCATATAGTTGGCACAAATCACTTTTAGGTTTACGACTTTACGCTCGGTATCACCCAAGCGGTCAGATGTTGTAAAATGGCTCTAAAATCATTCGGGATTATGGCTTAATTTTGGCGATCGACACAGATCTTTAAAATTGCACTCTGACTCTTGTAAAACGGGCGTATAACGTAATCTGTCCCACCACTAACGTGCGCTACTATTAAAGCATGAGCAAGTTAAATGACTGGCAACTTGTCAGGGTAATGTTATTTTATATAAAATATATCGAGAATAATTTTCTGAGAATATCATTTGAACTTCAAACAGAAAGTCACAAACAATATTTTTAAGTTAATCTGGTTTAAATGATACGTATTTAAGCCTAAGCTTTAGTTGAAGTTGGTAAAAAATACGAAAAAAGTGAAGTCAGCGGTCACTTAGCGGTCAGCCACGCATGCAAGCATGGTCTTCTTCACTGAGGATGCCTCGTATAAAGACCGAAACACGTGTCGTATTGTCGACGGTGGTGTGTCTTTCCTAGTGTAGTGGCGTTGGGTGTAGTGGTGCTGGTATTATTGGTGCTGGGATTGGTAGTGCTGGGAATAGTGGTGATGGGGATAGTGCACGCAATTGAGGGAGGGCGCGAGGTGTTCTTCAAACTATGTAAGACACATAATTTTATTTCATTAAGCGGATATGAGATTAATTTTTACCAACTTTAATATAAGGAATTTTCGAAAAGTAACGCCTGATTCTATTAATTATCTAAGCTTTAGTGTAAAAAAATAAGTGACGAGGAGTAAGGGAGGATGCGGACCGTGCATGGTGCATGACAAAGATACGCATTCGTATTCTAGTGTTGTCTAGTGAGTCTGTGGAGTACTCATGTACGTAGAAAGCCTTGCACCGAGCACAAGTCTGCAAGTTCTTTACTGAGATTCTGCAATAACTGCGAGCGTGCTATGAGCAGAGGGCTAGGCGTTAAAAACAAATATGTGTTGATGTATGATAATGTCCTGAGTAACGAATGCTTAAGTTGTATAGACAACAAAACGCATCGCTACCTGCACGCCCTTTGTGGAGTCTAAATTTTTTAGTTTAGTTCATCTACTTTAAACATTGAATCTCTGTACCAAAGCTACCATAATATTAATTACTATTTAGTAATTTTACAGATGTCATGGCTATTCCATACACGAATTTTGTATACTGAACGTAGTAAATTAACGCCAGCAGATTCGCAAACCGCGTACATATGCACATCGTCATAACAATTCGCGACACACATTCAAATACAAATAGGTCAGGAGCTGTCGCAAAGCAATAAACGCTTACAGACATACCAGTAAATAATGAGAAAATAATTAATACACTCGGCGCAATCAAATTAAAATTGTATTCGCTTTTGTAAGAGTAACGGCATAAAAACGTAATATTTGCGGATAATTACATAATATAATAGAAATTTTCATTTTAGTTTTATGTAAAGAGTAGTATTGTAAGTTACTGTGGTGAAGACATCTCATCAAACCTTTGGCAGACTTCACTTCACTCAAACGGTCGGCGGGAGAGGGGTCATCGACGGCGGATGAAGTTGACGGCGCTGGTTGTTCTGGAGTATTGGTCTGCATCTTGTGGCACACCTCGAAAGCTTGACCTACGGTGCGCACAATCCTCATAGCCTGGCTCTGTAAATAAAAAAAAAATATTTTCATATAACGTCACGCCGTGGGATCGGGTCAAAACAAAATTGCGAACTGCAATCATGTCACGTGGAATTGTCAAGAAACTGTCAGTTGTCCTATATATGGCCGTATAATTATTTCGTATCATATCCTCGATGTGAAACAGTTTCGACATAACATACCCAACATGACCTAGCTTAAAGTAGTGTTGTCTTAAACGCTAGTCGCGATAACTGCAGCAAATACTCCAACTTATAAATGTTTGACGAGTAATAGACCAATTCCATGGATCTAGAAACCAAGAATTTCAATCCTTATAATATTCAAACTTTAATCCAAACTTATTTATGGGTTTTCTTTGTTGTTTTTCTTTATATAGAACACCATCGGTCGAGTTTTGATTCAAATAGAGTAATGATGATAAACAAGCACACAGTACTACACCTGATGGTAATTGGATGCTCTGGACCATAAACATTTACATCTATCGGAATAATCAAAATGTAGATGCTTTGTTATCCCTGAGGACTAAGAAGGAAAAAGTTCCTAGTTAACAGGTGTACGAACGCAAGCTTCATACAAGCGTCTCGCAACGCACGCATACAAGCGGACCAAAAAGTTTTTGGTTTATTTATTTTTGTTACAATGCGAGAATTGTTTGTATTTTTTTATTTGCCAACATAAATTCACCAACGTTTGTGTACACTGGTTCAATTACAATTTACATACGCGGATAGGAAATAACTGTAAATGTTACAAACTGTTTAAAGCCTCATTTACATTCAGCCCCTGCCACTGCTCCTCGCGCTGCCGGCAATACTTCGCTAAATACTGCCGTAGCAGGATCGCGGGAAGTGTGTATTTACATTCTGCCCTACCACTCACTTAAGTTTCGGCTTTTGACTATGGCAGACGTCGAAATAGTTACAGCGTCCGCGCTGTGTATTCTTGCAATACAAAATTATGTTAATAATTTAAAAAGATATCAAGTTCAAAATAAGATAGATAGATAGATAGAAACTTTATTTGCTTATAAACATGGTACAATGATCAATGATCAATGACGTGGAACTGACATGTTTTGCCATAATTGGCATGCAAAAATGATATGAAATACAGCTAATTACACAAACCCAATGTAACATTTTAAAATTATTGCATTGCTTAAAAGTTAGGTACAAACATTATTTTTGAATTCAAATATGAACAATTTAATACTTATACAGATCCACTCTATTTGAACTCTTATACAGTAATTTGTTCATACATTATTAATTGAATTATTACATAAATAATATTAAAAATTATATAAGATTAGTTAAGCTATTATTATTTTAATAATTACACTACAGTATAAATTAATTCATAATTTTAATTACAATAAAATTATAATTTAAAAATCTCAGGCTATTATGCAAATATTACCATTTAACTTATTTTACATTTTAATAAATAAATAATCAATATGAGTTACTAATCATTTTTAGAAATAAAATGACAATGTTCATTATTTTCTTATAAATTTATATTAATATAATAAATTTGACGAATTTATAATTAATTATGTACATAGGTACTATGTTATCTCAAAAAGAAAATTCGTATTCGTAGAAGATGATGAATTGTGGTTTTTATCGTTGAAATCCCATATAGTTTTTTCTGATTCCAGCAGTTCTAAAAACTTTATTGTATTTTCATTATTCCACTCGCATGGCATTTTGGTAGATCGTACTTATTTAATAACAAGACGGCACGCACATCCGTTCATCCAGGCGCTTGGCGCGAAGTGAGCGATGGAGCTGTGAGCTGAATGTGAACACTCACTGCCGCTCGCGCTGCCCGTCCTTTGACTTCCGCACGAAAAACCGACATTTGAGGGAGCGTAGGGCAGTGGCACAGATAACCTCCTAAGGTTAGGGGGTAATCTGTGGGCAGTGGCAGCGGCAGCGGCAGTGTCAGCGCGAGTAGCCTGTTTACATACTGCCCTGCTCACTTCCCTGCCCAAAAGGGCTGAATGTAAATGGGGCATAAGGTAGTTTTAATAGTTAAAGTAATTAATGACTTGTTAGTTACTGGCGACCCACTCTGATTCCGCCTGGATAAGATATATTAATTTGGCGTTATTTAGATTTAAGATAGTCAAAGACCCCTTATTTCATCACCTCCACGTTCTTTCCAAAAAAATCTTCAAGTTTTTCGGATAAAATATATATAGTCATATCTCCTGGCGTTGCTGTCCTACCTGTTCGTTAAGTTTCAATTTAAAAAATATGTTTGAATAGCACGCGAGAACCTCTGGACTTAATAAAAGCAAGTACTTTAATATTACAAAGAGACACTTCAATTTTATTTTTATGTATAGGTTTATTATTCTTTTTATAAAAATATAATAGAAAAATAGAACGCACTAAAACAACTAAATTTTGTTTGATGTTTGCATAGTTGTTTTCGGTGCTTGCTAGGGGAGTTGAAATTTTCAATAATAGTGTGTGGAATGATCAAATTTACATAGCCCATAGAGCGGCAAATTGTCTTCAAACGCCGTTCTCCGTTCTCCGTTCACGGTTCATCGTTCTCATGTATTCATCCATCAGGCATTTACAATAGTTGCCACGCCTGGCAACCACAGTTTTTTTTTTTAATATTTGGAGTTGTTAACAGAAAGATGCTGCTGCCCGTCTCCTTTTTCATTTTCGCTCCGTCGCCTTTTACGACACCCTCGGGACGGGACGATATGGATTAGCAGATATTCTTGCACCACCACCACTACACGGTTTATATTACTCATTATGTGAACGTGAAATACCATTTGATTTGCTGTCATGAAGTGGCGGCGTAAGAGAATCACTACTCCGTATCATCCTATAGGAAACGATAGAAGGAAACTGAAACAGGGGTTGAGCTGCAGCAGCATCTTCCCGATAAGAACTCATTAATAAAAAAACTGCGGTTTCCGCCTTAACCCGCTTGCCATGCGACGAAAACGTGGCAAATAACTACACTATGCAGTGAGCAATGCCAGAGACCTATGTTTAGCAGTCGACCTTCGACCTTTGACGTTCATTTATAAATCAATTAATTAATGAACTTTATTCTATCCATCTAGGAAGTCTAACCTAAATTTAATTAAAATTTTTAGAAAGTTAAATAATTGAATGTTTCGATCAATCGATCGACAACGATCGCCGTCGATCAATGGCATCGATCAGCGATAGAAAATTATTCGACAGTCGCGTGATGCTCAGAATCAATTTTTTTTCAATTGAGTGTTTTTAAATTTACTGAAACAACCTCCTAAACCTATCAGTTTGTCACCTCAAAGGACAAAACGGAATGTTTCACAGACATACAGGTTTTCTGCCCAGGTGTCCATCAGGATAGGTACCACCTCTTATCTGTTCCTGCTGTTGCAAAGTAGCCTTGCATGCAGTATAATTACAGATGACGGAACATCCGTAGCCTTCTTTGTTTGAAGTTGGTTACAGGCGTCCATAGAATGAAGAGGTACTTACCATCAGGTAGACTGTAAGTTGATTTTCCACTTCAATTTTATAAAAAAAAGTATGTAACCGTTGCTCAAATCTTTAAAGATGTTTAAAAGTGTGATCAGGCCTAAGCCGTTATGAATATACTATTTGTAGGGAATATCAATTTTCAGTATAAAAATTAACAGTTATTGTTTTTCTTTATGTTTGTGAAATATTAATGACCTATTTCATTAATACGGTATGTAAGATACCTTTTAAATCCCAACAGCAATTTGAAAATTTTGGTCGATTGCACGTAAATAATGATTCCTACGATTTGGTAATGATGTGTATCGAAACACTCCCCAATCGAAATTGAAAATACGTTTCAAGCAATTGAGTCTGACGCTGAATTTCTGTAGAGGTGAATTTTCTAAGAAAAAATTGACTTAATGCGCCCTCCGAAAAGTTGGTTTTTTAACGTGTGTTATTGATATTATGTTTCATCATATGACTTATATTGATGATTAAATCTACATAATGCTACTAAGTAAATTCTGTGAGGTCACTGTCAATAAAAATAAAAACGGAGTACACAACTCTTTTAAACCCGCTTTTATTAGCTACGCGTGTATTTATCTATTATAACGAAAATTTTAACGTAATTTTCACCAAGTAGTAGGCGACCTATTGACCCGAAAATTCGCACTCGTATCAAGGATCAATGACAATCCAATAATTTAATAACTTCATCATAGTATCCTGATCAAGATCACCAGGATAATTTCCTCTCGAATCATTACAGCACTTCGTCGATGCGTTTTTTAAGTCATATGAAGGATGTAAAATATCTATAACAATTTTCTGCGAACGGTATTAAAACCACGAGATGCCTGGTTTTGCGTTTGCCAATCCATCTGTCAAAACGAGAGTTGATTTTGAAAACCTCCGAATACTATAGGAAACTTTGTATGCAGGAACAAATATAATGCTGTAGATATACAGATATGTAGGTAGTAATCACAACTCATCCAGACACAAAAACAATGATTAGAATATTCGCAAAACTTCTCCCGGGATTTAAGCCCAGTTCACGGATCCTAGTGACTTGTGGTCCAGCACGCACATCATTTATCCGCACTGTCAACAAACAACATAAACAAGATAGTTTCAATGAATGTCTGGGATATATATAAGGATATAAGTTTATTTACCCATTTTACGTTTTTTTTTTCAATTGATAACTGTTTTGAAGTAGACTCAAATGAAAGCAGCGTTGAACGTGCTCTGGTATAATATTAAGAGATGAAAAATATTTCAATATCACTCGCAGATAGTTTTAGATTGTTAATAAAATATAGGGTAAATAAATAAATATAATAGTATATATTTATTTATTCTTTATTGAACCCTACACTATGTATAGGAAAAGGAAAAAGACGAATTTAATGCTAAAATTCTCTGCCAGTCAGCCTTATCCTACCATCCATCACAGCCTATCACATTCATTGAACGTAAGCCTCTTCATAAATTGCC